AAGCAGGCAGGAGGGAAGGGGCAGGGTGGTGAGAACACGCACACGCATGTGCACAGGCACGCGAGCAAAGGGCATTTGTACACAATCCATTACTTCTGTGTTCTATGCCAGTGATTACTGAGAGAATGGAACATCTGAAAAAGCCCATCTCCCGGAGATTCAAAGCATAACCATCTAAATCACTTCTCCCATAAAGATTCTGAAATGTCCAGCCTCTGCCACTTCACTTGAAAATTTACTGCAATGTAATGAGAGATGTTAATAACATGCACAACGTAGAAACAAAGTTTTAGTTAGGAAAAAGTAGGAAATAAGGGCGCCTGTGCGGCTCAGTCGGTTATGCATCTGACGCTAGATACCAGCTCAGGTCCTGGTCTTGTGATGGTGAGATAGAGCCCCGCATAGGCCTCCGTGGTGAGCGTGGAGCCTGCTTGGGATGTTTCTCTCTCCCTCTCACTGCCCTGCCCCCGATCGGGTTGAGCATGTGTGTGTACTCTCTCTCTCTCAAAATAAATAAATAAACATTTAAAAAAAAGCAGGAAATGAATCTGACATAATCAAGTCTTGGAATCAGTAATAAACTTTCAATAAACTATCATTTCCTGATAACATGCTATTACTGACATTGAAAGATCTATAGAAAGGATAAAAAAAAAATCCAACATCACACCAACAACATGACCTGTGTTAAGAACAAAATTGCTTTTTGGGTGCCTGGGTGGCTCAGTCGGTTAAACATCTGACTCTTGGTTTTGGCTCAGGTCAGATTCTCACAGTTCGTGGGACTGAGCCCTGCATCAGGCTTCGCACTGTCAGCTTGGGATTCTCTCTCTGCCCCTCCCCTACATGCACTGGTGCTCTCTCACAATAAATAGGTTTGTTTTTTTTTTTATTGCTTCTGTGCTACAGTCATATTTCTCAAAACCACACTGAGCAAAAATATTACAAGATAGAGTATTCTAATTAGTAAAGGACTTTTATTTAAATACACTCTTGAAGTCACGTACTACAGGAAAATTGTCGCTAAAACATATAATATTTAAAACAATACATACATTTTAATGCAACAACCAGAAAAGTATTACTAAGCACTCTTCCAATGACATCAGTATACTGTCACTTAATAAAATAAAAAAATTCCTTGAATAAAACAGATAATAAAAACTTAAAATCTCACCTCGAAGTATGAATATGTTCGGTAAGATCTAAGAAATAGCACAAAACCTTCTATCGCTCAGCTGTCATTACAATTTGGAAACTGGGAGCACACACACACACACACACATAAAAGATTTAAGCCCAATATAATCACTACTAAATACTTCTTGAATTGCAATTTTGTTAAAGGAAAATACCAATCATGGGCAGCCTCTCAACTTTTCAGCATATAAGAAATTAAGTTGTAAGAAATAAGCTAAGTTTGTAGTACTACTGATTATTAATAGACTCCCAAAGAGAAGACTTACTACATGTACAATAACAGGAAGTTCTTTTTGCACAAAACTAGAAATTTACTTTAATAACTCAACATTACTAGTACCTTTTTTTTAAAGGCAATAATAATGGAAATGCTAAGCACTTAAAATTAGTAGTTCTAAAATGATACCAAAAAATTTGCATTTGCCTAATATTTTGAAACTTTTAAGGCTAAAGTTTCCAACGCACTTTCATTTTTTAAACACACAAGTTAAAAAAAAGGGAAACGAAAGGAAGAAAATGTAAATCTAAAGGACCTTCAACTTAACTACATTTCTTTTAACCAAACATTAACAGAGTACCTAAGATGTGCCAGGCAGTATACAGGGAACTATGACATATTACAACATCTATTACAAACTAAATCCTGTGTTATTCAGCTTCTGAATTTATTATGTTATTTAACCCAACACTTTTCTTAAATTCTCATCCAACAGCGAGGAAGATACACAGTTTTTCCTAACAAATTCACTTGTCTCTGTTTTACATAGGTCACAAGAGTCACCGCTAGCATCTGTGACTAACAAAAGGGATTCATTTCAGAGACATCACTGATCATTTTTTTCATCTACATGAAGGTGAGACAGGAACTCAGCAGATATAAACTGTTTCAGGTATAAACTGTTTTAGGTTATAGACACCCTAAACTCAAGATGGAAAAAAAAAAACACTAAAAAAAAACAAAAACAAAAAACAAAAAAAAACAAAAACTGGACTAAATTTACTTTGTATAGCTGATAAATATTTAAGTGGCCACAGCATTTACTTCTTCCATAAACACAAACATTACAAATTTCCATTTAGATGCAATACTATAAAAAGTCTTGATTCTGAAGACAAGCGAAGAAAACTTTTTTTAAAATAATTCAAAGGAACTATCCAAAGTAGACAACATTTATATTTTCACATACTATCACATACTATTTCACATTTCTACACTCGTAAACACACTCTACCCTTTTAAGCACTTCCGAATTTGTCACGGGTGAACAAGCTGTCTAGAGTCTAAGTTCCACCAGTTGAATCTAGACATTTCAGACACCTAAGGCTTTTTATCCTACAGTGTATTTAAAAATGACAGCATTCAATTACATATTCTCTAAAAAAACAACCAGTACTTCCATTGCTATAATTTCTTCCACCGACTAAGTAAATTCTACCCTTTAGACACTATCCTCCATTCAGTTAACATGTTTACATTTAAGAGGATCCCGGCCATGGGCTTTCCACATCAATCCACATTGGTTTTTACCACAACATCTGACAATTTACGGATCAACAAAGAAAAATAAACCATATAATGCTAAATCCCAGGAAATACAAGGGGCAACTGCTATCTCCGAGTTGTGTAAAGATCATAAAGATTCTCTTTAAGGATTTCTCAATTAAGATCACTTTCATGGCTAACCCTAGAGGTCCTCTGCTAAAAATTCACAGTACTGTTCACACAATAAATGAGATTTTCTTTCATCAGTGTAATCGACAGAAGCACAATACAGTTCAGTTTCTAGAGTCGGATTACTTGACCTGCTTTTTCTGTTTTACCTTGTAAAACACTTTAATTCAAGCAGTTCCTCCTACCTTACCCTGAAAAAGGAGACGTCCTACAGGGCAGAATTCTGCTCAGTGCGATATCCTCCAAGTGGCCCCAACTCCACAGCAAAGCCGGTAGAGAGCCACACCAGCTGACCCCCGTCGTCTCCCGGCAAAGGGCTCGGGCACCAAGCCACCCAACACACCTTCCTCGGCAAAACTCGGAGGCCCCACACACGACCTCGATCAAACCCCCATACTTCCCCAATTCTGTAACCCCAGAGATCGTTTTCTGGAAGCAATCTTACCTTCATGATGATTCAGGGACCGCGATCCCCTCGAAAACACCAGATTCACCTGCACCTGGAGGGAAAACAAAAGACACCCAGTCAACACCACCGGGCACCCCTCTGCACTGGCGGAGGCGGAGGGAACCGAGCGAAGCCTGAACCCCGAAGAAAGAGCGTGGCGGGCATCAGCCCCCGAACCACGAAACGCCGACGAGGGGCTCCCTCTGGCCTCGCCAGCCCCGCAAACCCGGCCACCTACACAGCTCGGCGGCTTCCCGTCCCCATTGTCGGGACCCGCCGGAGTTTCCCGTCTCCGACAATGACGCCATTTCTGTCAGAGAAGAAACTCACAACAAGCCCGGGGGCCGGCGCGGGGCCGGCTGTCCTCCCCGAGGGCCTCCGGGCCCGGCCGAGCTGGTCGGCGCCCCAAAGGGTCGCGCAGCCCCGCGTCCGAGCCGGAGCAGGCCCGGGCTCGAGGGGCCCGGAGTGGGGGGCGGCGGAGAGGCCAGGCGGGCCGGAGGAGGGCCGCGGGCAGGACCGACCCACCGCGCAGCCTCTGCCCACGTCCCGTTCTGAGGCGGACACCCGACAAGTGCGAGCGGGGTCCCCGTCCGCCGGGCCGCGGGGACCGCCAGAAGACCGAGGGGCCGGGAGGCGGCACAGCCCCCCGCGCCGGCCCGGGCCCCCCACCGCGGCCCGGAGCAGCTAAACCGCTGAGTGTGCGGCCGCCAGATTGGGGGGCGACTCGGACTCGGCAACAGCACGGGGGGCGGGGGCTCCCGGGAGGCCGAGGCCCCCAATCCGGGCTCCCGGCGAGACCACCGAGCGATCTTCCCCCGCTCCTCGGCCAGGCCCAGTGACTCCCGAAAGGACCCCCTTACGAGACCGCGAAAGCCTCAGAAAATGTCCCTACCTTCCTCGGAGGCGAGCTCTGACCCTGGCACGTCCAGAGTTCCCTCCCCTACTCCCCCCCAAAACCAGCAGGCCCGGGGGAGAGATGGGGGAAGAAGGGCGGCGGGTCCAGCGGTTGCTGAGGCTGAAGCTCCGGCTCCTCCTCCTCCCGCGGCGGCGACTGGTACCTTTGTTTGGCGGCCGCTCGGGCTCCCTCGCTGGGGGGAGGGGGGGACGACGAAAAATCCCTCCCGGACTGGAGGTCCGGGCCCCGAATCGCGCTGCCCTCCAGAGGACGGCGGCGCCAGACCCTCTGCGGCTCCTTCCGGGCAAAGGTCCAGGCGGTGGCCGTGGCGGCGGCAAGCTTAAGCACAAGAGTCTCCCTCCGCTCCGGCGCCCGAGCTCCTCACTCCGGACTCGACTGACGGGCAAACATCGCTTTCCCCCCCCCAACCCCAAGTGCCCCCCTCCCTTCTTTCTCCCCTCCCCTAGATATTTTCCCCTCCCCTACCTCTTTCCCGGATGGCCTCTTAGATGACCTCGGATTGGTTAGAGTTCTTTAGAACCCGCCTACACCCTATTCTCATTGGTCCTTGGGATACAAACAACGACGCCATTTTCCCACCACTTCTATGGAAACAGAAAGTTACGCCTCAAAGCTTCCCGGGAAATGTAGTCCAACCTTTGAGGCCAATACGGAAGCCCTTGCCCCTGAGAACTGCAAGACCCGCAATGCCCCGCGTCTGCGTGAGATGAGGAAGGGAGGGGAGGGGAGGGGGCGGGGCGACAAAGCAGTGGGGAGGCGGCAACGACGCCTGCGCAGTGTGACCGGGATGGCGTATTTTCTTGCACCGAGTAATGCGGTGTCGCTGGCGGCTGAGAAGGGTGGAGAGTTCCGTGGTGAAGTAGGGGGAGGGATCTATGTAGGCGTTCGGAGGAGCCTTGGCCTGAACTATAAAGTGGGAAGTTGATGCTGGGTACTGCTACTCCCGGACCGGCAGCGTGAAAGTTGTGATATCACCGTTGAACCGTGAGCGGCTGTGGTGGCGGTCGGGGGGAACCCGGATGGGAATGAGGGCGGGGGAGGCTGGAAGGCGGGGCCCGGAGGAAAGAAAGAAAGGAGGGTGAGGACCCGGATGCTGAACCGGATTGTGTATGAGTTTTCCGTACTTGCTAGAGAAGGGGTGGAGCGGTAGGTGACCCAGTGGGGCGGAAGGGGGCAACTGAGCGGAGAGGAAGCAGAAACCTCTCCTCTCCTGCGGGCTCTGTACCAGCATAGGAGACCCTTGAAGTTCTTTTGCCAAGTCTCTGTTAAAAATCTGCCTTGAGGTTATTTAAATCCACTGCTTTTATCTCAGGCAGTTTTCTTCAGCTCTGTCATCTCCCAAAGTTTAAGTGGAGGATTCACTCTGCGTTTCACAGCTACGCTGAGTGTCACTATTTAGCAATTTTGAAACCAGATCGTTCCCTTAAAAAAAAACAAAAAAACAAAAAAACTTGCATGGTATTATAACTTTTCATATTGCAAGTCTGTTCCTTGGTTTCATTTTTTTAGAGCGTTAGAAGGCACTTTCCGTTAGTTCATTCAATCCTTCACATATTTATTGAGCGCCTACCATGTGGAAAAACGGAACAGCCCCTGCCTTCGTGGACCTAAGCCTAGTGAGACAGACAGATACTAAAATGGACACACAATTGAATGTGAAGTTAATAGCAGTGGTGAGTGCTACAAAGGAGAGTTACATGGTGATAGGAGAATTTAAAATAGGGAATTTGGCTTAAGGGAAATAAAGTGTGGATCCAGCTGAGAGTGGAAAGGTTATCATAAGTTAACTAAGAAAAGAACATTCCAGACAGAAAGAATAACATGTTGGAAAGCCTGTGTCTAGAGGCTTTTAAAGTGTGAAGAATTAATTGTGAAGACCTGAAGGGGGAGGAGAGGGGAGGGGAGGCAGGAGAGTAACCTACTATTATGCAGTTTATTAAGGAATTGTTCTTACCTAAGAGCAAAGGGATGTTTTCAAAGGGTTCTCAATGGGTAGGGAAACAGGACCAGATCTGAATTTTGCAAGGATTACTGGCTGAAGAGTAGAGATCTAGATTAGAGAACCTAATCTAGGAGTGAGCGCAGGGAGCCCAACCAGGAGATTATTGCAGTAGTAGTCCACACAGGGGACAATCTATTTTCATATTAATACTCATCCATCAACTGTTTGAACCCATTTAAGGCAGTTTGCCAGTTTTGGAAGTGAGTAGTTTCAGACTGTCTCATAGAGGCATTCTGTAGTTATTCAATCTAAAAATAAATGAGTAGAATTCATGTAACACTAATGCCCCTTTATGTTTGAGTCTAGTACATGATGGCTGAAAGTTCCAGCCATGATAAATAGGACTCCTTTAGGTCAAAAAAAGAAAGAAAAAAAAAAAAAAAAGCATGTATGCCACAGTGTATAGAACCCCTTAGACTCTTTAAGAAGACACAAAACATTACTTTTCAATACCTAGAAAAATTGAGGTTCCTGTATTTTCCTACTACCAAGAATACTTGTGTATAAACATCCTCTAGGAAATGAACATTAATTGACTTGTTCAATGAGTGTTCTTAAGGTAATTTTTAAAGATTCATAACTGGTTTTGTTTTTGTTTTTTTTAATAGCGTTGACAAAGCCTTGAGAATTGAAACAAAAGTTAGTTAGCTCTGACTTCTGGGCAAGAGTATACTTGTTACTGATCCACAGGGAGACAAAAGAGTTCTTGAAAGGTGGACTCATTGATTTTTAAGTTAAGTACATTGCTTTCAACCTTGTTGGGAAGAGATAGCCACCAACTGCTTTAAATGCAGAAATATATAAAAGATGCTTGTTTTTATTTTTTATCTTACCTTTAATTCTGTTCAATAATCTTTTACCTAAGTGATTATTCTTGTTACTTTTTTTTTTAATCTCTTAAGAATGAGATAACATGTCAAAGTTTAAACAGTATAGATAAAAGATTACTAAACTGATTTTTGGATAATTTCAAAATATTTTCTGGACTTTTTTCCCCCCTTGTGACATCCTTGGTATTCATTGTCAGTTAAGGCAGGTGTAAAACTTTCCTACATGGAATGTTTCTCCTTGAGGTCATATTGCTAAGATGATTTCCTTTGCTGGAGTGCTCAGTTCTTTTTTTGTTGCTTTTTGTTTTTAATTTAAGTTTATTCATTTTGAGAGAGAGAGCATGCGGGGTAGGGGCAGAGAGAGAGGGGAGAGAATCCCAAGCCCCCGATGCGGAGCTTGCACTCACAAACCATGAGATCATGACCTGAGCTGTCAAGAGTCAGAGACTTTAACCAACTGAGCCACCCGGGCGCCCCTAGAGTGCTCAGTTCTTATAATTGTTTCACCTAAACACTCCAGAGTAGATTATAAAAAACGCACTTTTCAGTCTTTTTAGTTCATGATCCTAGAGACAAAATCATTGTTATAGAAGCAAAAGAAAACAGATAAAGGTGAGAAACCTCCTAAAATGTACCCAAGATGTGAGAGCAATTAGTAAAGAAGATTCCTAAGATAAGGACAAATAAAAAACAGCAAAGAAGCAAAGTAGAGATTGGATTCAATAGAAAAGAAAGATTGTAGGAAGACCATGAGTGTTATTCTAGGAAATATCAAAGTAAATGTAAAACTCAGAATAATAAATCACTACAGAGAAGTGTGTGTGTGTGTGTGTGTGTGTGTGTGTGTGTGTGTGTGTGTGTGGATACAGGGAAATATTTTTGATAATTGCATTCAAACTAATGCACGTCTTAAATTAGAATCTTTGAAAGGATTGACTGTAAAGAAATTACAAGAGAGGAGTTTTCCCCTTAAATTTTAAATATATAAAACGTATCTCAAATGCTCTTGGGGAAAAAGTATGTTTACGAATTTATGTAATCACTCAAATATAAAGTATCTAAATCTGTTGATTTGTTTTGACATTGATTTGGTTTTATGCCTTTTATGGTTGAGTACAGTAAGAAAAGCTTAATATAAGTTTTGTAACTAAGGAAATCACTTAAAATCCAGATGAATACTGGGACCAATGAAATCACTTGAAGACTTTCCTTTTTTTTTTTTTCCCTTAAGAGAGATAATTTATATATCATATAGTTCACCCATTTAAAGTATACATTTTGGTAGGTTTCAGGATATTCACATGGATGTGCAACCATCACGACCTAATTTTAAAATATTTTGAACCCTACAAAAAGAAACTTCATCTCCATATTCTTCCTACCCCAACTCTAGGCAATCACCAAACTACTTTCTATCTTTGTAGATTTGCCTATTCTGAACATTTCATATATTATATGGTTTTTTGTGACTGACTTCTTTCACTTCAGCATGTTTCAAGATGTCACCTGTGTGGAATTTTCTTTTAAAACAGAACTGAAAGTGTACTTGCACAAAAACACCTTGAGATACAAATTCCTTTGCAGTTTAACACTCAAAATTAATTTAGTGAATGAGATCATCTTTATCCTTCTCCTTTTTCGCAGATCAGCTTTGAAATTCAAAAACAATGGAGAAGACGCAAGAAACAGTGCAAAGAATTCTTCTAGAACCCTATAAGTATTTACTTCAGTTACCAGGTAACTTTAGTTATGGTTAATATAGGGTCTTTTTATAGAGTAGTAGTCATTCAAATGTTAAATTACTGAAAAGATTAGATTTACCATCTCTTAAGATTTCCTATTTAAAGGCATGAATTGGAGAAAAATGACAAATAGAACATTTTAGTTTTTTGTTCTTAAAAGGACATTTTTGTTTTGCTTTTTTTTAATTTTTTAATGTTCATTTGATTTTGAGAGAGATAGAGTGTGAGCAGGGGAGGGGCGGAGAGAGAGAGAAGTGGGGGGAGACACAGAATTCGAAGCAGGCTCCAGGCTCTGAGCTGTCAGTACAGAGCCCAGCGCGGGGCTGGAACCCACAGACCGAGAGATCATGACCTGGGCTGAGGTCGGAGGCTCAACGGACTGAGCCACCCAGGCTCCCTAAAAGGGACATTTTTGAAGCATTGTTTTAAAAATATCCAATTATACAACATAACTAAAAAAAAAAAAATTAAAACATTTGAGTACCTCATTGGAAGTTTCATTCTTTATGGATGCCATACATTCCTATTCCCCACCATTTAGATATTAGGGGAAGTTACTCCAATTTGTATAACAACAAAAAGCTTCACTCTATCTTCCATGTTCATTTGTTCTACTATCACATACACATTGCATTTCTTACACTGCTGGTTCCTTTAAGAGCCAAATAGTAATGCATCTCTAACTCACATTACTTGGAAACAGCCCACGTTATTCGTATATAAAGATGGGTCATCCGAACATGGCTTCTTAGAGTAACACCTGCCTAATCACGTGTGTGTGCATGTTTTATTTTGCTATTTTTCTAAGCTTGGTTTGGAAAATAATAATAGCAAGTAAAAACTCATATATATAATAAGCGTGGGTTTTTGTAATAAAAATTCATTCACAAACCAAGTACTTGAAATTTGGAATTCTCTTTCTTATAGAAATTATAAAAGGTGATAAATTAGTTGACAACCATAAAAACCTACTTAGCATGCAAGGTAGCTAACCTTTAGACTAATAACGTTCTCAACTCAATCACGATAAACACTTTTTTATTTCTGTTCTAAAGTGCATATCTTTCTTTATGGGCACATGTCAGTGGTATGTTTCTGTTCTTCATGAGCCTGGAGAGAATAAATATGGTTATCAAAGGCAGAATAGTGGTGGCTCCCCAGCTACATCCTCAAAACCATCATGATTAGTGTCATTTCTATTCTGGCAAATCTTAATGAAGACGTACCTGCTAATGTCAGTGCTTCAAAAGAATGAAGGGAACTATCTATTTCCTAACTCAAGTTATACCCAGCCATATTATCCCATATAACTCACCAAAGGTTATTAGATGAAATCTAATTGACAGTATGAAGATACTCCATAGTACAACAGAAGCTATTTAAAAGTATCCAGAATTTGTTGGATATAAATTACCTTCCACTGTGATGATTACAGTGACCAAAAAAAAAAAAAATTAAAGATGAAATCCTCAGGGTGCCTGGGTAGCTCAGTCAGTTAAGCATCTGACTCTTGATTTCAGTCTAGGTCATGATCTTACAGTTCATGGGATCAAGCCCTGAGTCTGGCTCCATTCTCACTCTCTCTCTGCCCCTCCCCCGTGCACACACTGTCTCAAAAAATAGTAAATAAAGATGAAATCCTCAAGATATGAAGGACAAAGAAGATACGTACTTTTTAAGAAACTTCTAGTCTGTTAATATTTTGAAATTCGTTACAGATAGTGCACCTCTTTATTACCTACAGCCAGGGTACATAATTCTACCTTGCTCTTGGCATGGTGCTGCTTTTTATTGATGTATAACATGCATAAACAATGATCATAAGTACAGCTCAAAAAGTTATGGAGGGGTGGCAGTGCCTGGCTGGGTCAGTCAGTAGAGCATGTGACTTTTTTTTTTAATTTTTTTTTTCAACGTTTTTATTTATTTTTGGGACAGAGAGAGACAGAGCATGAACGGGGGAGGGGCAGAGAGAGAGGGAGACACAGAATCGGAAACAGGCTCCAGGCTCCGAGCCATCAGCCCAGAGCCCGACGCGGGGCTCGAACTCACGGACCGCGAGATCGTGACCTGGCTGAAGTCGGACGCTTAACCGACTGCGCCACCCAGGCGCCCCGAGCATGTGACTTTTAATCTCAGGGTCATGAGTTCAAGCCACGTTGGGCATAGAGCTTGAAAAAAGTTATCAAAGGGGTTAGGGAATGGGTAAAAAGGGGTGAAGGGGAGTGAGAGGTACAGGCTTTCAGTTACAGAATGAATAAATCACAAAGATAAAAAGTACAACATAAGGAATATAGTCGTTGGCATTGTAATTAATGTTGTTGGAGGGAAAACAGAAATGTAGAATGCAAAGGGAAAGTTTCCTGCTATTTAAGGAAAAGCCAAGAGACTGCTTTTGAGTGACGTTTATTCAACAGCTAGTAAACTACACTTATTTCAGGGTCTCCCACTGAGAAACATGGTGATGTTTCTCCTGCACTCTCTTCATCTGTTGTTGAACTTATTTTGGAACAAGTTTGCAAACACTGGTTGGAACCGGGCTATGGTAATATATGCCAGTTATCAGTGCCGTAAAGGGTCTAAAGAGTGTCTCCTGCCACTTTGCAGAGCAAGGACTGTCTGTAATTTTATTCTGTGTGTTTATTTATTTATTGTAGGGAGAGTGGATATGAGAGGAGCAAGGTAGAGAGAGAATCCCAAACCAACTTCACATTTGGAGCCCAATGCAGCCCACTGTGGGGCTCTAACCTACAACCCTGGGATCACAACCCAAGTCAAAATCAAGAATCAGAAGCTTAACCTATTGAGCCACCCAGGCACCCCTGTAGTTACATGTTAGCAATAATGTTTACCTGTGTAATGAACTTCTGTAACATTTTTTAATCCTCATCTTGAATTAATATCTAAGTCATTAGATAACATTTAAAGCTCTCATTAGGTAGCTAATTTGTTTTAATCAAATGTATTCTTGCATCCATAATACAATGTAACCTCAAAAGATTTTCCTAAAGAAACAAGAAATTGTGTGGCACTTGGCTGGTGGAGCACGGGACTCTTGATCTCGGGGTTGTAAATTTGAGCCCCATGTTGGGTGCAGAGATTACTTAAAAAAAAAAAAAAAAGGAAATAGGAAATTGCACTATGCATAGTAAACCTGTTTTTCACAGAGAACTTCATAGTTACTAAAGTGACTTCAAGATGGGCCAGAACATTTTTTCTGTTGGGAAATTACTCTTGCTAATAAAAGATTATAATAATTAAAAATTATTAGTATTAGGATGTTTTGAAATTAGTGGAGTTGAATGACTTTTGTTTGTTTATTTGCCCTAGTGTAGGTCCCCAGGCCAGGGAGTCCGTAATGTTAAGGTCTTTTAAAGAGGAAAGGTAATTATTGTTTCTTTTCATTTTGAGGGATTTCTATGACTAACATCTGTTAGAAACTATTTGGGGACTTAAAAGTATCAATCCAGACCCCAGAACCTGGTTAAAGGAAAAGAATATATTCAAACACAACTGCAGGGGCACCTGGGTGACTCGGTTGAGCATCCGGCTCTTGATTTTAGCTCAGTCATAGTCTCCCAGTTCGTGAGATGGAGCCCTAAGTTGGACGCCACGCTGACAGCTGGAGCCTGTTTGGGATTCCCTCTCTCCCTCTCCCTCCCTTTTCCTCCCCACTCTGCTTCTCTCTGCCCCTCCCCTGCTTGTGTGCTGCTCTCTCTCTCTCTCTCTCAAAATAAATAAAGTTTGGGGAAAAAAACTTGTAAATTAAGCCATTTATTGGACTGTTTTTCTATATATATTCTAAAGCAAAAAGGAAAATGTCTCTCCACTTTGTGTTCTTCATCTTCTGAACTTTTTTTTCTTTTTTTAGAGAGCAAACCCATGCAAGCAGGGGGGAGAGGCAGAGAGGGAGAATCTTAAGCATGTGCCGCACTCAGCATGGAGCCCAACATGGGGCTCAATCCCCTGACCCTGAGATGATCTGAACCAAATTCAAGAGTTGGTTGCTTAACCAACTGAACTCCCCAGGCACCTCTGAGCTTATTTTCTAAAGTGATACGGGTTACTTTACACACTTGTACATTGTAAGTAAAGCCCAGATTGGCCTTAGCTAAACTGGAAAGTAGATCAAAAGTATAAAGTATATAATTGCTACCCAGACCATGTTCACCTTAAGGATTAGGAGACAGAAGATACTCCTTCTTGAACCCTAAGAGAGCCTTCCCCTCCAGACTTCTCACAGAAAGTGCAACTTTCTTTCATTTGGATATGTGATGAGAGTTTATGTATTCATTCCTTTGGGTGATTGGTACAGAGAAAAAAACCTAGAGAAGTCTTAGAAAATACTGTTTTTGTTCACTGGAACTTTTTATGTAACTATTTTCTGAAACCTCATCTGAAATTAGGATGTGACTGTGCATTCACTTTAGCAGGAAGCTCATAGAACATTATTAAATGAACTGGTTGGGGTTTTTATCTATCATTCCTTTATATTTGGGCTAAAATGACTTCTATTGATAACTACTAGCCAAAAATCTCTTGAGCTTTCCATGTAAGAAAATGATAATATTGAAAAACTAATGGCCGTAGTCAAAATAAAAAGACTCATTTTTTACTAAACTGGGATCCTAAAAGGGAATACTTGAGGGAATGGGAATCTCATTTTTTGATAGGAAAGAAGCAGAACTATACAATCTCTAAAACTTTAAAGGAATGGTAGATACTTGTAAGAAGTAATTATATGAGGTAAATCAGTAGCAAAGTATGCTTCATTAAAAATACCCATAGTGAGGTGATCTCAGGGTCGTGAGTTCAAGCCCCACGTTGGGCTCCACGCTGAGTGTGAAGCCTACTTAAAAAAAAAAAAAAATCCCCATAGTTCCTCTGAAATGGACAGTGCTAATTAACTGCCACTAACTAGACTAACTTGTTTTTCAAAAAAGGAATGCATTAGATCATAGTTTCTAAAATGCCCATTTCATTCCAGTGAAAGGAGTGGGCTTACTAGTGGGCCCCTGGAATACTTCAGAATGTCTTTGCCCGCCCTAATTTTAAAAGGCTGTGTGGGGCACCTGGGTGGCGCAGTTGGTTAAGCGTCCGACTTCAGCCAGGTCATGATCTCGCGGTCCGTGAGTTCGAGCCCCGCGTCAGGCTCTGGGCTGATGGCTCAGAGCCTGGAGCCTGTTTCCGATTCTGTGTCTCCCTCTCTCTCTGCCCCTCCCCCGTTCATGCTCTGTCTCTCTCTCTGTCCCAAAAATAAATAAACGTTGAAAAAAAAAAAAAGGCTGTGGCGTTTTAGACTGAATTTCAGCAGAGGGGGTGGGGCGTTTAGGGCCCAGTAGTGAAAGGCAAGCTCTCTAGTAATGGATTAGTGGGGCTGGGTTCATCAAGTCTGATCAGTCTTAGAGGAAGTGTCTGAATGTGTTTTTTATAACTGAAATATTTTATTGCCGAATTTTATTCTTTAATTCCAGGTAAACAAGTGAGAACCAAACTTTCACAGGCATTTAATCATTGGCTCAAAGTTCCAGAAGATAAGCTGCAGGTATTTAGGCAATTCAAAACCTCTTAATCCTTAAGAAATTAATAGATGTCACACAAAATACTCGTTGCTCTTAACTGAGTTTAATGTTCCCCGCATATATTGTATTATATTGACATTGCTAAGTAAATACCAGTTGTAAAAACTAAGGAATCCAGGACTTGTAATCTGTTAATTAAATTATTTATAAGCTTTTTGAATATTTGCACATTCAAATAAAATGAAATTGTCCATCGTCTTTTTTGTCAGATTATCATTGAAGTGACAGAGATGTTGCATAATGCCAGTTTGCTCATCGACGATATCGAAGACAACTCAAAACTCCGACGTGGCTTTCCTGTGGCACACAGTATCTATGGGATTCCGTCCGTCATCAATTCTGCCAATTACGTGTATTTTCTTGGCCTAGAGAAAGTCTTAACCCTTGATCACCCCGATGCGGTAAAGCTTTTTACCCACCAGCTTCTGGAACTCCACCAGGGACAAGGCCTAGATATCTATTGGAGGGATAATTACACTTGTCCCACCGAAGAAGAATATAAGGCTATGGTGCTACAAAAGACAGGTGGGCTGTTTGGATTAGCAGTGGGTCTCATGCAGTTGTTCTCTGATTACAAAGAAGATCTAAAGCCACTACTTAATACACTCGGGCTCTTTTTCCAAATTAGGGATGATTATGCTAATCTGCACTCCAAAGAATATAGTGAAAACAAAAGCTTTTGTGAAGATCTAACAGAGGGAAAGTTCTCGTTCCCTACTATTCATGCCATCTGGTCAAGGCCTGAAAGCACCCAGGTGCAGAGTATCTTGCGCCAGAGAACCGAAAATATAGATATTAAAAAATACTGTGTACATTATCTTGAGAATGTAGGTTCTTTTGAATACACTCGGAGTACTCTTAAAGAGCTTGAATCTAAAGCCTATAAACAAATTGATGCACGTGGTGGGAACCCTGAGCTTGTAGCTCTAATAAAGCACTTAAGCAAAATGTTCAAAGAAGAGAATGAATAATACTAAGTCATTCTTGATTAGGCCTGGGAGCTTATTTTAGTTGACTTTTTTTTTTTTTTTTTTTTTTGTCTTTTAGCCTATCACTTTTTTAAAAATTAGGACCAAGCTGTTAGTCTCCTCAAACTGAGTGAATTGGGGTGATGTGAGTGAGATTGTTTCAATTTAGAACCCCTTTGTACAGATAATCATAATAGTACAAAGTTGATGGAATCAAAAGGAGCCACATTTAAATAGGTCTAATATGAATGTCAGAATGTGCTGTGTTGGGACCTTATGGACAACTGCCACAAATGTTCTGCTAATTCTATCAATAAAGAAGACTTCAGCTTCCGGGAATTCTTATCCAGATACTTCTAACTGTGCCGTATGGGCAATTCCCCATTCTTCGTCTACCCCATTTCCAAGCCAGTGACTACTTGGAACCAGTTCCAGTAGCTAGCTGACCCAAAGACCACAGGACCTCCTCTTTCTTCCTAAATGTTGCTACTTAAAATATCTTCATCTCCTCTTGGAAACTCCCTTACTAAAGTCTGCCATGAAAAAGCTGACTGTGATAAGCAGTAAGCGATCTGGCCCTTTTTCTTACCTTTTCCTGTTTTTCATCCTCTCTGCCCAGCAAATTCTCCTTAACCAAGGAGTCTCCACTTACTGGAATTTATATGCTACCCCACATTCATTCTTTTTTCCTTCTAAATGTAATTTGTGACCCAAAGCTGATTAGTATCTGGATACGGCATTGTCTTTCCATTTGGAAAGAAAAAAGGGCACGTGGAAAATGTATTTTATGAAGTAGCCTTTATTTCAGTCTTTTTATATTTTTCAGGGCGCCTGCATGGCTCAGTTGGTTAAGCATCCAACTTCGGCTTAGGTCATGATCTCACGGTTCATGAGTTTGAGCCCTGTGCTGGGCTGTCAGCTCGGAGCCCACTCCGGATCCTCTGTCCCCCTCTCTCTCTACCCCTCCCCTGCTCAGGTGCACTTGCTCTCTCTCTCTCTCATTCACTCACTCAAATATTTGGGGAAAAAAAAAACCTTTTTATATTTTCCTATCAGTAGTAAAAATCATAAAAGAGCTGTTTGCTCACCTGAAGTACAAAAGCAGAAGGAAGTGTCCTTTTCCTTGCCACTACTGAAGGCAATTGGTGCTTGAATGGAAAGGGAAGTAGGTATCTTTAATCTCTGTGATTAAAGGAATGTAAAGTGTTGACCTGAGAGCTGGTGCTTGGCTGGCTGAAAAGTAGTCAAAGCCTATGCTATCAGGCACTAATTAGCTTTACAGTGCTTTCATACTGACCCCCTATCCCTTTTGTGTACTTTCCGCCCCCAAGCCCCTGGAGCCATCTGTGGCAACAAGAAGTAGCAAAGGAAAAACCCTGATTCCTTCACTTAGAAGTGTTGCTGACCTCCCAAAACAAAACTGCTTTCCAGAAACACTGCATTTTGCTTGATTGGTTCTATTCTGGTGTGTCATCTCAGATCTAATCACCATGTACTTGTATGAGAACTTCTCACTGAAGCACTCAATCTAAATCTTTGAAAAGCTGGGTACTATCTTTACTAACTTTTAAAATAATTTGGATCTGGGGCACCCTGGGTGCCTCAGTCCATTAAGTGTCCAACTTCGGCTCAGGTTATGATCTCTCATTTTGTGAGTTCAAGCCCTGCTTCAGGCTCCATGCAGACAGTGTGAAGCCTGCATAGGATTCTCTCTCCCTCTCCTCTGCCCCTCACTCACTTGCGCCCTCTCTCTCTCTCTCTCTCTCAAATAAATTAGGGGCACTTGGCTGGTTCAATCAGTTAAGTGTCTAACTTCAGCTCTGGTTGTGATCTCACTGCTCATGGGTTCGAGTCCCGCGTCAGGCTCTGTGCTGACAGCTAGCTGAGAGCCTGGAGCCTGCTTCAGATTCTGTGACTCTCTCTGTTCCTCCCCTACTCACTGTCTCTCTCTCTCTCTCTCAAATAAACATTAAAATTATTTTTTTTTAAGGTTGACACAGTAGAATAGAGAGCTGATGGATTTAACATCTTGCTGAAAGTGATTTATGGCAACATAATTAGCCTTCATTCTTTTGGTTTTGGCAAGCAAAAAATTTTATTTTTTGAACCTTCATAGACTAGAAAATGTGAAAATGTTTTAAAATACATGTCTTCTAAATGACAAAATTCATGGAGCGCCTGGGTGGCGCAGTCTGTTAAGCGTCCGACTTCAGCCAGGTCAAGATCTCACGGTCCGTGAGTTCGAGCCCTGCGTCGGGCTCTGGGCTGATGGCTCAGAGCCTGGAGCCTGTTTCCGATTCTGTGTCTCCCTCTCTCTCTGCCCCTCCCCCGTTCATGCTCTGTCTCTCTCTGTCCCAAAAATAAATAAACTTTGAAAAAAAAAATTTTTTTTAAATAAAATAAAATAAATGACAAAATTCAGTTTACTTGGGTTCTAAGACTTTCCTTTTGCAGAAAAAAAAATATTGTAGTTTAAACCTAAGTAGTTAATATATTTTATTAGATTTAAACTACTCTTACAGTGTTTTCTGTATTGACAACTGTGATTATAGTTCAAGTGAAAAGAATAGATTTTTGGTTACTTAATAGATAAAATGATTTCTTTTTTGTAAGATCCCAATTTCATGTCAAGCATTTCTGTCATTGACGAAGGCCTGATACAAATGACAAACGAATCATGAATAGCACCAGGCTAAAAGTAATTTGATTAAGTAAGGAATAATCTACTTAGGCAGTCTTCATCTTAAAGGTAAATATTTTGTCTATATAGTTTTTTTTAACAATACTTCTTTTTTGTTTTTTAATGTTCATTTATCTTTGAGAGATAGAGACAGAGCATGAGTTGCGGGGAGGAACAGAGAGAGAGGGAGACACAGAATCTGAAGCAGGCTCCAGGCTTTGAGCTGTCAGCACAGAGCCCAACACGGGGCTCGAACTCACAAACTGGGACATCATGACCTGAGCCAAAGTCCAATGCTTAACTGAGCCACCCAGGTGCCCCTATTTTGTCTATATAGTTAGCATTAGATCTTTTTGAATAATCATTAAAATTTTATTTTATGTAATGAATTCATAAACAGTTCAGGTTTCCATAATGTAGCATAAATACCCATGATTTTGAGGTTTCCTTATATCAATTAAAATGGAAGATTTCAAATTATTTTATTTTTTTATAATGTTTATTTTTGAGAGAGAGAGAGGGAGACACAGGATTGTAAGTAGGTTCCAGGCTCTGACCTGTCAGCACAGAGCCCAACGCAGGGCTCAAACTCAGGAACCGTGAGCATGACCTAAGCCAAAGTCAGATGCTTAACTGACTGAGCCACCCAGGTGCCCCTATTTT